TTTAATGTATAACGTTTTGTTCCTTCCAGGCTTAGATATTAATAACTTGATTCTGTCTCATACAAATTATTTTTAGACAGAATCTGGTATAGGTTACGACTTCTGTCACCTAATGGACGGAGATCTAATTGTACATTGGACGGAGATCTAATTGTACATTCTTTGAAGCGAAGACTGAGACTCAGCAGTTTCGTGTACCATGTAGAGCTAGCATCTGTAATTGTATTGCTAATATTCGCAGCGTCACCTACAGAATACAACTAGGTAATACACAATTTCCCAAATAAAAGTGGTCCTCGAAAGGTTTTCAAAATTTCGTTAAAACATACTTTAAACAGCGAAGAAATTGTTAGAAACTAGGTCAGACACGATTGAGTGTGAGAGGAACGTCTGTAGAAACGTAAAACTCACCAACTATTTGAGCGAGAGGGTACAAAGGTGCTTAGTGAGCAGATGAAGTGAGAAAAGCAGACATTTTTAGGAATGCGATACGGTGTAGTAATCGGTTGAATACAACCTAATGGAACACGGTAAAGATTCAGGTTGTACTCAAGTAGTTCCCACACATTGAAAGATCTATATCAGAATACTGAAAATGCTATTGCTGCCATCCTTTAGGCAGAGCTGCTACGTGAGTCTCACAGTTTGAAAAATCGAGCACAGCGTTACATCGACGTCAACAGTGGCTATTTCTAGCGTTTTCTAGTACAATTCTCCAATTCATCAGAAAGGGTAAATTTAGCGCCAGAGGTATACTCATTTTCCTGGACTCTTTTATTCTGGCTATCGTGTACAACGACTTGATCTCTAGTCTTGCCGTAATCGTAGGAGGACGAATAAGCCATAGTCTTTTAGCCACTCCATAACGTAAAATATTGTTTGAAAGACAGTCCATAAGAAGCTGTGCTGAGAGCCGGCTTCTAGCATTCTGGAAAAAGAGCAGGCATTATCATGCATGCATGTCGCATGTCGCATGAGCAGCATGTCGTGAATCTCATTAAAGCCAAAAGCAATTATTTAAGAATTAGCAATTCTTAAAGGGAAAATTGAATATTCGGAAGAAATTACCGAAACAATCGATTATGAATAAGAAAATAAGTTTTAGAAACTATTTGTGAATAATATTTTCACAGATAATTGCACAGGAAAACAAGTAAAGTTATTCTTTTTGCATCGGAGAATTTTTTGACAATGCATTGCGCTTAGAGGGAGGTAGTTTCTTACACACATAGTAGACAAGTTTTGTCTCCCAAAATGGGTACACTTACTGTTTCTGCAAATGGCTGCTTTTAAATAAAAACCCTTTATGATGTTATTGTTTTAGATTAAAAATTAAAATACAAGTTCAATTTTTCAATTTTAATGTTGACCAGATTTCTTTCATATGTTTAATTAAAGCTGACGAAATCCTTACCATTTGTTGGTTCATAAATGTTAATCGTTAACCGTCTGCTGTTGTTCGAAAGTTTAAATTAACTTTAGATAATAAGAAGAGCATTTCTCAAACTTTTTCCATGTAGGGAACACTTTTATAAATTAGAATGTTCTGCAGATCACCTTACTTGGTTCTTTTCGAAAAAATGTTTTAGCGTATGTTACTATCAGTATACTTGTATTTTTAAAATGTAATTAATTAAAATTCTTTTAACAATTCATTTCATATTACACTGATATCTACTTTCGAATTTTCCCCCAGGAAATTTCATTTCGTGATTACTCAAAGTCAACTGCCCGCAGAGATTTATTTAATAATTAGCTTATTATAGCCCATAAGGACAAATAACCATATTCGTAACGTACCAGCATTACATCGATATTAATTAAGTTTTTAATAGAGGAAAAGCTATATTTGTTTTTAACCATTAAAGACCACTACAATTAAGATAAACTTATAAGGTATTTCGCCCGCCTTCTTAGCATACCTTCGTAGTGTAATGGTCAGTACTCTGGGCGCGTATTCCAGAGGTCCGTGGTTCGATTCCTGGCGAAGGCGTTGCTCATTTTTCATTACACCTGCTTTAAAAATAACCTAATGACTCCACAAGTAGCTCCCGAACTAAAAGGCTGGTTGATGATGATTCTCCACACCCAGGATTTGGCAATTGGGTGCCCTAAATCCCGCTTTCTTAGCATGACTTCGTAGTGTAGTGGTCAGCACGTTGGACGCGTATTCCAGAGGTTAGTGGTTCGATTCCCGGCGAAGGCGTTGCTCATTTTTTACTTCTCCTGCTTCCAAAAATTATCTAATGTCTCTACAACCTTATTAACTAAAATTTAAATAAATATTGGTCTCACATTAATAATACGAATGAGCCTGCCGCTTTTGCTCAGCTGTTCCTTGTTTGGTATATTCTGATATGCTTAAATCAGACATTAATTTGATATGCCTAAATCGGACATATAATTAAGTCGAGTTCAATCCCTTGTTTTTATTTAAGTTACTGAAGAAAGCCCTTTCTAACTATGTAGAGATAAATTTAATTATAATTTTTAAGCCACCATTGTGCAATTCATTGTATTCCGTTTCACTGGTAATGAGGTTAAAAAATTTACTATACCTAACGTAATAAGTCATTGCATTATTCTTTTCTAATAACGCTAAAATTTTTATGATAAAAGGTTATCTGTTTTACACAACTCCTTTAATTACACACGGCCATTGACAAAGTCAAAGGATTACCATGCAGACAAGGATTTAATTTATTTAGGTTTGAGAAAACAACTGGCAAAAAAGGCCAGTGCACTTAGTCACATGTCATCAGCAAAAAAATGATGTAAAATTTTCTTTATTATTAACAGGACAATTTTGCAAACATAAGCGGATCACAAAGGAAGGCTTCGAGAACCACTTGTAGTCCGCAGAGCACAGTCTCAGACACGATGAGTTAGAAACTTTTCATGTGTGTCATTCGTAAGAGAATCATATTCTAATTCTTAATGGCTTTAAACGGATGTAATTATGCACAAGCTAACAGCTCACCAGTTTCTGTGTTGTAAAGTTGCTCCCATCACTTTGAAATAAAGTAAAGTTTTAATGAGTACTTCTTCGGTTATTTTGTAAATTATTTCTTTTTGTGTTGACAATAACTTATTTGTTAGTCTGTGTAAGTAATCGAACTTAATCTTTAAGATTTTAAGTTAAGAATTATAACCGTAAAATTGTGTTTGTGTTATACTTTGTATTATTAGTGCGTATATACAGGGAAAATTTATTTATATATGTCATAAAATAGCGTAAACATTCTTCAAATAGGCCATAAGACCATCCAAGGAGTTGAAAACAAAAACCGGTCACTTTATGATCTCGATCATAAAACGCGCAACACTTTCGCTCTGGGTTTCTAAACTGTTTCCTTGTTAACAATATTATTTATAAAATATGTTTTTAACTCCGAAGGGTCAAAGATTCAAACAGTTCATTGACTTGAGAATTTGTAACGGGTCATTTTCAGAAATGAGAGCCAAGCAACCCTTTCGCACGCCGTACGGTCTACGTCGGTGTTAAGGTCAAAGAAAGATACTGAGGATGTAGTAATAAAAATCTATTGATAATAAAACGGGTCATAAGAGATAATGAATAAATAATTCATCTCGATCTTTCATTCATGGAAAGGTTTGTGAACTGTGGTAATAAGATATCCGGGAGGAAAAAAAACCATTCACAAGCTTATGAAAATTTTTTATTAGTAAGTGTGTGTCTCTTCGGCTTATTCTCAAAGCTTTCAAAATTGTAAAATCTTATCCTTTTCCCTTTTTACTACTGTTTTCTTCGATATATAGCTCTACGTGAGATTTCTCTTTACATTAGGCTTTGATTTTTCTATAAAGATGGTTGTTGCTACTTCCATCCTTTCAAAACGTTCTTCCTGCTGTAGAACAAGAACTCTATTAGATCGCAGTCCAAATCGTCAGAAGTTTATTCAGAATATACATTAGTCTAATGTAGCTTGTTTCCCTAAAGTAACTTGCATTTTAAAATCATTATTACTTTTTTATAAAACAAAATGTACAATACATAAAAAAATTAAATTTATTAGAGAAATAACTATAATTTTTCGCCTTCTGCAATACGTTTTATGGCACGTGTTTCTTATTAAAAATTTCCTCAAGCCTTTGGAATTTACTGCAAAATATTTTCGTAATTTATTCAAATATTCAATGTTTCTTTTTTAAAAAACTTTCACGTATCTATTAATTGGGGAAACTAACAAATTTCTGAATGGTCATTAGTTATTAAAATGTAATAAAACGCAAAAACAATCTTAAATTTCCTATTGGAAAAAAATCTGAAAACCAAGCGGATATATTGAGAAAAGAACAATGGAAGACAATAGGCTTAAAATTCATTATTCTTAGTATATTGTGTAATGAATGTACTTTACTTTAAAATGTTCTAGTGCTATATTATGCGAATTTTTGTAACTAAATTATAATTTTTAGAATTCTTATATATCCATCACAGATCTGTATTTGTTGAAAGAAACATTACTGAACTTTCAATGAAGTCTGTAATAAAAATAATAATGAAATGCAACAATAAATAAAAAAACTCTTACTTTTCTTAGTGCTACAAGAGCATTCATATAATGATAAATTAATTTAAACAAATTTGTGCCTTTGAAATCGTGTACATCTAGACGTTAGTAAGAAAATCAAATGATTTATTCAAGTAAAGATTTCCTAGTGTTGGCATCATCTTCCCTGAAAATAACAGAAATAAATTGTTCTGATTACTGCACTTAGAATTTCACTTCAATGTTTTTCAAATTTAAATTTTCTATTTTTAAGTAAAGGGAAATGTCATTTTGATCCACAAAATTTTCACAATTCATGAGCCATAACCAAGTTTATATCTGAGAGATCCTGTAACAGGGTATTTAACATCGGTACAGGCAGAGTAATAATTTATAATTTCACGTATTTCTTTAATATTTATAATCAATTATTTGCTAAAATATTCTCAAGCTATAATCTTAATACGTTTTTTTATTATATTACAGATATACTCGTAACCTCGTAGATGAAGGTAATGGGAAGTATAATCTGATGCTTCTGGCCTGGGCTGAAGGTCAAGGAAGCAGTATTCATGATCATGCCAATAGCCATTGTTTCATGAAGGTAAAGGAACCCTGTTTTAATTATTGTAACATATTTAACATATATAGTTAACCCTTATCGTATACAATTGACAACGTTTCTATAACGTTTATTTAGTATATAGAGTTCATGCCTGTAAAATGCTCATTTATTGATTGTCACGAATCTGGCCCTTGTTCTCAAATTTATCTGCCCACGAGACAAAGAGCTGCATTTGTCAGTGTCGAAGACATATTTATAAAAAACATCCCGGAGGACAAATTCAAGGACCCTCTACTACCAACCTATAGGGGGGATAACTTTCTTCTCAACCAAATTTTAAAGGCTCAATACCTCCAAGACACAATGCATTTAGAAGCATCCACACTTTATCCGGGATTCGAGTTTGATTCCGAAATATAGGAGCCGACGCCAGTAACTACGTAACTCAGATTGGGGTTTTATATGTGCTTAATCCTTATACAACGTGTGTCTGAAATGCACTTCACATACAACCGAAAATTTCAGTTAATATATATACATGTTAAAAGTATTTTATAGATTTGTGAAAACTGAAAAACTTGCCGACAAAACACGAAATTTTTTATGAAAAGTTTAAAAGATACGAAAAGTCCCCCCCAAGGGGCTGGACACTTTGTTACGTAAACATTCGTCTTAAATGGTCGGATTCATCGGTCGCTCGGCCCTCCCATCTCCGAAAATGTTGCTCACTGTAGGAGGTGACTGTATTGCACCCGCAAGAAAGGAGAAAGCTCCATCCCAGTATTGATTGCGAACACTCCGAAGCATGTGTTCAAGAACTATTTCCCTACCTTCAACCTCTCGAGAGGAAACTAAGAAAAAGTAGCTTATCATCAATTCTAAAATGCAGATATTAATCTATTTTTTCATTTAGAACTTTAAATTATGCATAAAATGTATTATAATAGCTTCTGGAATTGGTGTTTGTGTTAGTATTACATACAACACTTTTAGTATTTTCTATGATATAGGATAATACTGTTTACTACAGCCAAACGGAGGATTCAACATGCAAGCAAAATTTAAATAGAAAAAAAATTGCTATAGTATTATATATGTATTTTATCTTCTTAATGATTATCTTATTAGTATTTTCTCTCCTCTACTTCCATTGTTTTAACAACATGATATCTAATAGTATACGTAATGTTGCAAGTATCTGCTACTGAACTATTTGTGTTATCTCTGCGAGACATTCGTCAACAATAGGCTTTAGTTTTAGATATAAAAGTTGGTAGTAGCACACGAGTTTTTGCATCACAGTGAATCGGGGATTCTAATTCAAAAATAAATTGTAATGAGGTTGGCGAGAGTTTTGAGAAATATATTTTGAAACATATTACATATGCTTCTCGTCACAATTAAAGAATAATACGAAAACGTTTGCTCACCGATTAAGGTTTTCACCTATTTCCAACGATATAATTATTTATGCTAATTATTTGCAACTGAGTGTAAAATTGGACTCCGGACCATAGCTTAGAGCATGAATTATACAAAATAGACGCTTGGTCACTTGCTGTGCAGTGGATGCATATTGGAATTCGGATAAGTAGTATTGTTAATGTTTTCATGAAAGCTATAGAGACATTTTTATGCATTGAAGCCATTTAGTTAATTGTCATTTCCTGCTTTCTAGTAAGTAGTAAATTTTAAATCTCCGTAGTAAACAAAATTTTTTTAGCCTATAGTGAATGCGTAGGAAGTATTCAGTGGATAGAAAATAGAAAGTATTGGCTGCCTATAATTGAAGATATTAACTAGCAAAGAAAATGCTTGACAATTTTAGCCGGACATAGCGAACACAGGAGGTAATAAGCGCACAAATCTAATGAAACTTTTATTTTAATACGTCTTTTACAAAAAATATTCAACGAAAACGTAAATTTGCATATCAAAAAAGTATTGGCAAAGTTCTAACTGCTATGCAAATTTTGTTGAGGTCACGTATTTAGACTGATAATAAACCCTGTTAGTATAAAGTCTGCAGTGCTACTTCAAAACTTTTAAAAAAACCTTATTTTGGTAATACTGTGATAAAATGGCTTCAAAGTCGAAGGAATTGAATGTTGATATTAAAAGCATGATTATTAAACTCAGAAATTGGAGTTTAACTTATCGTGTCGTAGGAATACAACTGAACATAAGTTGATTTACTGTTAGAAGTGTTGTAAAAATGTTCAACGAGACGTGATAGACGGAAAATAACATTACAAGTGGACGGCCTCGAATATTTTCTGCAAGAGAAAACGGGCATTATCAAAAAGTTTAGGAAAAACCCCAGCTTGGTTAACTGGAGTGCACTTATTTAGTGCACTTCAGTTAACCAAAAGTGTTGCTAATACTTCGCATAAAACTTTCAGTGTACAGACTATACGGAATGTTATATCTGAAGGGAGTTATTATGGAAGGGCAGCTAGAAAACCTTTCATTTCAGAAATGAACAGGAGAAAGAGACTAAATTTTGCAAAATCTCATGTTGATTTATCAGACGAGTTTGGGAACAGAGTTATTTTCTCCGACGAATCGAAGTTTAGCATTTTCAGGAGTGGTGGACGACAATACGTGTGGAGAAACAACATTTAACACCGGCTGTGAAACATGGTGGAGATAGCGTTGTAGACTGGGCCTGTGTGGCAGCACACAAACGGAGTTGGTAACCTGTGCTTCATTGATGGTATTATGACAGCATATAGCGCTATAACTTGAATTCCAATGTACAAAAACTTGGCTTGGAAACATCATTCATGTTTCGACAGGACAATGAGCCTAAGGATACAGCGAATCTCACCCGAGAGTAATTACTCTATAACGTTCTTCGCCAGTTGAAAATACCACTTCTAATCCCCTGACATAAATCCAATTCAAGGTTTATGGCACAAATTGGACCTAGAAGTCAGGAAACATAAAATTTCGTGTAAAGATGAACTTAAGCGTATACTCCTGCAAGAGTGGCACAAAATTCCTAATTGTACAACCAAGACTTAATATTTTCTCTATGAGAAACAGATTACAAGCTGTTATAAATGCAAAAGGTATGAATGTAAAGTATTAAATTTTATTCCCACATTTTGCTGTAATATCATGCCAATTCTTTTTTGACATGCACATTTACGTTTTTGTTGTATTATTTTGTGTAAAAGGCATATTCAAACAAAAGTTTCATTAGGACTTGTGTGTTTATTACCTCCTGTGTTATGTCCACCTAAAATTGTCAAGCATTTCCTTTTTTATCTAATATGATCAATTATAGACAATAGCCAATACTTTTTTTACCCACTGTATGTCCCAGCCCCAGGGAAAGGTTAAAGTTAATATGGTTTTTGAGAATGACCAGTATTCATTAGTTATGACTTAGTACAGTTTTGGAACTTTTAACAAATGTACTCGTATAGCTCTTCTCAGTACGGCATAGCAGTAGCTACCACTTCAAACTACATAAAGCGTATAGTTTACTGACGAGTATAGATATAGCATGAAAATATGATTCTTAACGTGTGTTGATTTGGTCTGTAGGGAGGAAGAAATACGTCATTCTCTTTCCCTTATTCATAAAATGATTCCATTACTACTGAAAAGATATCACTGTTTAGGGTGGAATGATTAAAAACGGCTGCTCCGAGCTGCATAGGTTTAATAGAGGTTCTGCAGTTCAGTCACACATTTCTGGACGATGTCGGAAGCCCTTGAAATGATATTTAGCTGTGCTGTTGGCCCAAATGTTCTGCTAATGAATGACACTGCTCGTCCTCATCTAGCATCTTTGATATCATAATACTTGAAACAGAAGGTGCCACTCAAATGGATTGGCTAGCTTACTCATCAGTCTTGAACCGTTTGAGCAGGATTGGGAAACTATAGGTCGCTGAAGTACAACGCGCCATATGTTCTTCCGAATTCTACAAGATACGAAAAGTGTACTTTCGGAACAATAGCGTGCATTTCCACAAAACTTGATTAACAATTTGGCAAATTTTATGAAATCTTGATATAAGTAATGAAATTCTTTCAGAGATGATCACACACCATATTAAAGAAAGATTTATTGCAAAACGAGGAAGTAATTTTTCCATCATTTTTAAATTCCCATAAATTTGACATTATATTCAATATTTTGAGATTAATCATCTAGTAAAAAGGGTATATTATACTAAACAATGCTTTTGTACACATCTTTTTAATCATTTTTTAAATTTCTATCTGTTACAGTTTAATTTTAATAAGCAGCGTAAAATCATAAGTAAAAAATTATAATTTATTTCTTCTCAGTTATTTAAAAGTATTTTTGAATTTTCTGAAAACAAAATAAAGGGAAGAGCATGAAAAGTATAATGAGTTTATTTTATTTTTTAATTTGGAAGATCGCATTCCTATCTCCCTTTGTTTACAAAAATTAAAGAAATTGGAAAATATCATTGAATGTTTGTTGTTCATTCCAGGTGCTGGATGGCAGTCTTCATGAAATCCGTTTCGCTTGGCCTCCGGAAACAGAAGAAAGTGAAACTCGAGAAATGGAGCAGATAGGAGAGAACTATCTGAAAACGAATGACGTCGCTTACATCAATGGTATTTATTGGTTCTAAATAAAACTGTTTGAGTTAATATTCTGAGTGAAATAAACGACCGAACTGGAAGAATTATTAGTTCAAACGGGTTCTGTCCCTGAAGGTCTATTGTTTTCGGTCTGCGATTTTGCGTTGGTTCACTATAAATGTCCGTTTCACTTTTCAAACTATTGCCACCAAATGTTTAGAGTCCTGCATTATATTTGAAGAAATTAAGTAATGAAAAATCTGCATAAATGTATGTATATATCTCGAATTGTAATAAAACAACGGTACATAGAGCCATCGAATTTTGAATGACGTAATCCTACTGCGAATATGGTCATGTGGAAACCTAAATTTGAAATTTGGAATTTGTTTTATTATCGATTTCATATTTTGTAAAACTTTAACGAATTTTTGATTAACAAATTCAAGGATTTCAAAGCGAGTAATGGCAACGTTGCACAGATAAAACAATTTTATCTCCAACGCGCCAGACTCTGTATTGGAAATTCTAAAGATATACTCAATTTAAAACTATTTTGCGATATTGCTCTTGAACTGAATTGTATGGTGCGAAGAGCGTGATATTTAATAAATAAAGGTAACAGACGAAATGTTAAAGAAACGCCTCTTTGGACGTAATTTAAAATCTGAAACCTTTCAGTTTTTTTCTCTGTCTAAATTTGAAAAAATAAGTTCAATAAAAATTCAAAGACTTGCAGTTATCTATGTAATTCTTTCAGTCACTGACATTACGTATGTAATTATTTCAATAATAAGGATCAGAGAAAGAAACTTTTATTTAAATACCTTAATATTGCCACAGCCTTAGTTGCTTGCAACTGATGAATTAGCCGAGCACATAAATATCCGTAAGACCAAGATTTATTTTTTATTTTGAGTTTCCTTTCAAAAGAAGAAATATGTATGATAGCTTTCTTTATATTTTTTACCCCGCTATAAAGATTTCGGGTGGGTTAAAATGTGGTAATTTCGTATACCGCGGACTTCTGAATAGCAAAGGCAGTTATACTAACACATAAGTTAAGGAAAGAATAATTAAAATAGAACGTGCAATGTTTAAAGGGTTTGGCGGTCGCAGCGTTGGTATGAACTCGGATAAACGTTCTCAATTCGAAGCAAATTCATTATAGCAATTTATGTGCTTTGCACATGTTACGAAACCACATATAACTGGTCTGTTCAGTCTCTTAGAATTCAATTCAGGGCAAGCACCCAATATCTAGTGGTCTTAATCTTCTGTCTAATTAGCGACTAAAATCTAGACCAATGAGCAGATACTAACGAATTTAAACTGAAACAGAGGAATTCCACGCAATCACAAAAGTTGATTAAGAATATGGAGAAAATTTTCCCTTTTGATTAAATTTTGGTTTAACCTAACTGAAGTAAATTACTTTTCTGTACAACGATTGCTAACTTAGTAACGAGGGCCGTCAAATATAATGTAAATCACTGTGTTTTAATGCCGGGAGTTTAAGTTCCATTTAAAGCGACTTAACACACATTCAGTCACTATTTATGCTCTTTTTTCCAAAGTATGTTCTATTTAACTGTTCTTTTACCTAACTTGGAGAAAAAAGTAAAAGTCAGAATAGGTACCATCATAAAAATTAAAGCATTAGAGAAATTATGTTAAACTCAAAACATTTCTTATATTTAGTCGATTCGGGATACAAAACTTTATGTGACTAAACAGAGGATGGAGAATAGTTTTGGAACTACTAACCTGCAAACTATAATGACTATTTAAAATCTTGAATGGAGTTTACTTGCTTCTGATCAGAAGCAGAATCCCACAAAAGATTTAATTGTAGTGATCAAGAAAGTTATTGCTCTTATAAATTAAACATAAAGTATGCTCATATTGACGATGAAATATGTAGACATCATTGCAATATTCAACAATGAGATTGCTAATTGAGTGTTCATGGTCTTTGTTTTAACAAGATGACAGAAGTGTGAAAAGAAATTTTTCAGAAAATAATCTTTTCATGGTAATCAATATGAAAACTTTTACATCCTCATTGTTCCTTTCCATTAAACTTACGCTTTCTTGTTTATACACCTGTGTACTGTTTTGACATAAATGCAAGTAACTGAATTGTTTATTTATTTCATAGCAACAGAATATTTGGTGACAAGCTGAGATCACTTCTAGAGCTTGCTCATAATCTATTCTTATGCAGTGAATTTTATTTCAGATACCATCGGTTTACACCGCATGGAAAACCCTAGTCATACTGCAACTGCGGCAAGTTTGCATTTGTATTGCCCACCATTTCAATCTGTTCTGCTCTTTGATCAACGTACGGGACATAAAACTCGTGGCAAGGTCACTTTCTGGAGCAAATACGGAAAGCGCACTCCATTTGTAAGTTTTATACCTATTATTATATTGAAACTTAATTTAATACAAAGTCGATATATTCCATAAATTGTTTTAATTCATAGAGCATTATTTAAAACAATGCTATCAATAAAGTTGCCTAATTTCATATGAATGAGATGTATATTACAGTCAAACTTGCTACACTACAATGTATCAAAATAACGCCAGTATTCAAGAACTAACTAAGCAAGCAGGTAGGTATTGTTACCTCTTCATCAGTATTTGAAGACTGCCTTACAATGAGTAATCATTAGCAAGTCAATAATCATATAAATTTATATATGACGGAACTTCAATTTACTTTGGACTTTTTATATATTAATTGGCGGAGGGTGTGACGTATATCAGAACTGCAGATATCGGCATTTGCTTGGGTGTCCAAATACTTAGGAGATAAGTGTATTACTGAATGTAAATTAGGACAATTATACAATGAAGACGTTCGAACTCGGAGAACAGGCTAGCTGCATGCGTGTTTTCGTGGTTTTCCCCATATGTAAAGTGTATACGAGCCAGTTTTCCTTAGAAATTCCTCCACGAAGGCATCGCTACCCTTAGGCAGATAGCTCTTGAGTTATTTGCCATGATTAAATATACCATACCTATACAATTAAGACGATGCTCCGTAATAAGATATGCAAATCCAGGTCGTTAAAATTTGAGTTTTAACCCTTAAGTACAGAGGTTCATTTTCTGTTACGTAAACACAGAGGAGGGGTCTCTCAAACCGCGCTCTATTTTATGCATTTTAAAAATATAAAATTTTAAAATAATGTACTATTGTTATTGTACACTTGTTATATTGAAGTAATTAGTTCTTTTTAAAACTCTAAAATTAATGCATTAAAAATTTAATTTTTAAATCATATACTAAAAAGTACGCAACATTTAATCAAATAAATAAAATAAACACTACTTACTTGCAAATGCGTATAAACTAAACTATTTAATAAATTTTCTATCTACAGAATCTGGATTTATATAAAATGATGCAAAAAAAGTATAATATATAAAGAATATTAAAAAAACTGCAGCATAATATTTTAAGCATTTTCAGCACAATATTTAACAAACTTCTCTTGGCACATTCATTACATATTGGATTCTTGCAGCTGAAACATAGATAGGTAGTTTTTCTCCTTAGTCTAGGGAGACAAAGAAAGCATATTTTTACGCTTTCAAGGATATAGGTTACATCTGAGCTAGAATAGATTCCGCTGGAAACTCCTAGCACTCTGAATGCACATTTTTATTTCTCGTTTCGCAGTTGGGTTTTGAAGCCTCCGTTCCATATGTGGTTTCACTAATTCTTATGATAACTCCATCAAAGAATCAGTCTTTTCCCATTGATGTGTTACATGCCCATTAATTCCACTTACATCAAGTAACCTAAAGAATATGGCCATTGGCCATCGCCTTGTTCTTCGATTTGTAGAATGTTTAGAACATTTTTCATCCAATGCATCTACACCTCCTTTAGTCAAATTATAAAATGTTATTATTTCTCATCTTCCAGTTTCAAGATCTTCTGATTTCAAGTGATGCATTGAAGAAATGAGAATAACACTTTTTAATTTTTGAGGCACATATAAAACGAGAGTCATTCTATCAGTGAATGCACAAAGGAAAGATCCTTCACTTTTCGTTTTATATGGAAAAAATCGCTTCTTATTTCTCTCTTATTTTTTTTTCATAGTACCGACATACAAACGTCTAGAGTTAAGTTCTTTTACAAGTTCGACACTCAAGTAATGATAAAGTCATCCCCCCTCATATGAGAGAAAAGTAACGTGAACGCAGAGGTGAGGTCTATATGACCGCGGCCCAATTTAAAAAATTATTTAAAAAAACTAATGGATAGAATTTAATAAAAATTTAGAAATATTTATATTTTATGTCAACTTAAAAGTACTGAAAGGGAATAGAATAACTATACAGTAACTAAACAGTTTCGCAATTCTAAAATATTGGCGCGGTCATACAGACCCCCACCTCTGTGTTTAAGGGTTAAAAAAGATCCATTTCCATTTGTAATAAAATAAATTATCTGTGGCCAACTCTATAAAGACCAGTTAAAACAAATGTCACAAATATTGTAAAAAACAGTAAATAATATAATGGTTTTTATGTAGAATTGAATATTTGATTCTAGATGTAACGTTTTTAAATATAATAATAACAACATTGTTTGTTATTGCATCGGAAATCAAGTATTTGCATTCAGTCTGTTGATGCATTCATAATTTGAATGTGGGAGTACACGCACAAACGTATGAAACATAAAATATTAGCTGCTCGTTTAAATAAAAAGGCCTAAAAAAAAATCTGAAATGTTTCAGATTTTAAATTACGTCCAAAGGGGCGTTTTTTTAACGTTTTGAGTGTTACCTTTATTAAATATCATGTTCTTTGCACTTAAACCATAAAATTAAGTTCAAGAGCAATATCGCAAAATAATGTTAAATTAAGCATATCTTTAGAATTTCCGATATACACAGTCTCGCGAGCTGGAGATAAAAGTATTTTTTTTTTCTATATAACGTTGCCATTTCTCGCTTTTAAAGCATTGAGTTTGTAAATCAAAAATTCGTTAAAGTTTTACAAAATATAAAATCTATAATAAAACAAATTCCAAATTTGGGATTTCAGATGCCCATATTCGCAGTAGGATTTCGTCATTCAAAATTCGATGGCTCTATGTACCATTGTTTTATCACAATGCGAGAAATAGACAATCATTTATGCAGATTTTTCATTATTTAATTTCTTCAAATATAATGCAGGACTCTAACATTTTGTGGCAACAGTTTGAAAAGTGAACCGACGTTTATGAGTCCGAGTAAAATCGCAAAACGAAAACAATAGTCCTTCAGGGACAAAGCCCCTTTGGACTAATAAAAGAGATTCTCCTGTTTATTTTATTTTATTTTATTTTATTTTTTACTTTTCTTCTCTTTCTTTCTTTTTAATCATGATATGATTTCATTGTTTTATTCCTGAGTGCTTTTGGTGCGCCAACTATAATGAATGACTTTTCTCTTTGAATAGAGGCTTTAAAATAATAAAATTTGCACATTGATCGCATATTGCTGTAGCTCTTTGAACTTTCTATGCCAGATTAATTTGAAAAATATTATGATAATGTGGCAGCAGAAAATGCGGGGAAACTACCACAGATTCAAAATTCAATGTTTTTCTGAAACCTATAATTTTGATGTAATCACAGCTGCATATATTAGATTAGCTATGTATATAGCAGGGATATATATTATATATAGCATTGTTCTAACAGATATTTTCACACAAAATCGGACTTTTTCTGAAACGACATACCATGTTTTTTCATAATGAGGTTCTACGCTTCAAGTTTATGTCAAAGTGCCAAGTTTTCTAAAACTCTCACGAATAGTTTTTAAAAAATGAGCTCTCAAATTTTTAGCTTCTCATTATTAATTAAATTTGCTATATATACTTATTAATATCTCTTTTTCATTAAACTTGCTTGATTCCTTCTTTCATAGTTCGGAATTCAGGTTCAGTCCAAATAAAATTTGCTAATATTTTCTGATTTATTTTAAAATTTGTATTCTTTAATAAATTCTGGCAATTTTTCGAACACATTTTTGAATTATAACCTATAAAATTTTTACCATCATCTTGAAGTAGGTGTATTTCTAGGTGTACCTGCAAAAAATTAGAGTTTGTTGTTCAAAACTTTGCAAAATATACATGAATTTATATATAGCCGTGTTTTGAAATTTGTATTTGTTATAAGCGATAACAGTGCCAAATGTGGTTTACGCACTATGTTAGCGTTATTTGAAAGAATGAACGATGTACCTTTTTTTCCGCTCGTGCATAACGAAAGAAAATAGGTTACCATTGGTTAAGAATTTTGCCAAGTGAATTATTCCTGGACTGATAGACGGAAAAACTGCATAGACTGAGAAGTGTGCACTGAAATAAAATTTTAAATTACTTGGTAAGTTCCCCATCAAATTTAATATTTAGGCATACTTTGAATCGTAGAATTGGAAAATGGAAAAAAATGGTTTTTAATTTCAGAAAAAAGACCGATTTTGTATCAGAATACCTATGTTAGAACAATACTATGTATAAATCTCACATATATCCTAAATCGTGCCTTTAAGACTTAAAAAACGTGAATTAAATTTCGTCAGTCAGCCCAGTAGAACGAGATATACAGAACTGTTCCTTTTTGTGTGTGTGTGTGTGTGTACATATGCCACAAAGCTAAACAGTCATATGCAAGCAGATATGGAACTTTTCATGCACAAATCGACCAAAAGATTTAAATTAAACAAGCTAGATTCAGCAAAAATTACGTGAATATCTTAATATTCTCTTACATGAGCATTTAAAAAGAAGTCTTTCACAGTTATTAAACGTTATCTAACTCTAACTATAGAGAATGAAAAATGAAATTCTCGGACATCAGATATCGAGCATCTCAAAGCTCTCTAAGTTGCCAGGTTCCATACTTCACACTTTGAAATCGATCATTAAGTTATTTCCGGCAACTCCTTGTGACAAGGAACCCCGCCCTTTTTAAACACATAGTGTCTGAAATAGCGGCCGAATGAAACTAAGTAATTGTTTCATGGTGCTGAAGATACGAAAAGCGGTGGAAAGTAAATTTATAACTTTCGAGCATCTATCAGAACCATTGTGAGAAGTTTACTCCACACGCTGATTAGTAGTCTAAAATAAAAAAAAATATATAATAGCATAAATGTTTCAAAGTAGATTATTAATGTGATAAATAATAAGTAAAAGAGAAAAATAAGGTACTGAGTGTTCTAGACAGGAAGCTAATTCTCTTAAATATTTTTTGTCTTACACATGTATTTATCATATGCATTTGCAAAGTTTCTTTAAAAAACGAGCTGAATTCTACGAAAATTATTTCAGTGTCGTATCAATATATATAAATCAAATATCAATCATATACATTTTCTTTG